AAGAGAGAGAAACAGGCAGATTCGCAGCCTTCTTGGCATCATCAGATCCTGCAACCGCAAGCGTGTCATTCATCAGAACGGGTTGGAAAGGAAGCGATTTGAATAAAGGAATGATCAGACATCACTATGACCACAAGAGTTATCCTAATTAGTTAATACTGGAAATATCTTTTGGTGTGCTTAAGCAAGTCGTCACTAGGACAAAACACCTTCCCAATGACTCCGAGTGGGGTCACTGCATGGCGCATACAAGAACGGAATGGATCCGCGCCAAGTGCATCATTTTCAATTTACTCCATCGAACTGACGTGTACAGAAGTTTTGAAGGTGTTCAAAGAAGTTCCCTACTACGGCGAGGGAGTAATAGAGTTTTCGAGTGGCTTCGAAAATTTCCTTGACATTTCCTCGACGCAGATTTCTCGCGAACTAGAAAGCGTTCGAAACAAATGGAGCACCTGTTAAAAAAGCGTGAATCTTCTACTTTAACAACGCTTTCCTCGGGGTGTGGGTACTTAGGACAGAACGCGACTTTTTCGCTCATTCGCAACGCGACATCGCGCGGCAGGCTGGCGCTCCCGCAGCGAAAAAACTACGGTATGGAAGAACGCGCGATTGGAGCAGCTTTTTTGCATGCGTGAATTTGTAAGTTTCTGATTCCTTACTTGCCCGCGCTCACACCCATTGTATTGATAAATGCGGTGAATCACTAATTCTGTCTCATTATTGAAAACGTTTTGTGACTTACACGATTCCGGGCGATGCCACTAAAATGGTGTTTTACGAATTATCGGTGAACGATGGTTTAATAGTGTCGCTTGTGCTTGCATTTTGTGGGTTCATATTGTTGTATAGACTTCTGCATAAGGGTATAACATCTTAACTCTCATCAAACGTCCATCAACCATTTCTTCCAGGTTCTCCAGAAGCTCTACCATCCATCTCTGCAAAAATAACCTACCTCCCTCTTCACTGCTAGTTAGCGGTCCACTTCTGGTTACCATTTCCTCGTTCATTATCAAATCCATGGCTATTAAGCTTCAAACTCCTTGTCGCAATCAAAGCCGACACAAATATCGTGCTCCAATCGCGCGTTCTCCTATACCGTAGTTGTTTTCGCTGCGGGTGCGGTGACATGTCCGACCCCTCCCCGTGGGGTCACCCGGGCAACTCACCTCTGGAGCATGCTCCGGAAGGGAGGCCGAGAGCGGACTGCGCGTTCCTTGAGATGCAGGTGGTTTCAGGGGATGGACTCCTTGTCTCCGCAGTGGTAACTTGGTTCATTCCTGAAATGGCTGTGAGGCGTCGTAGGCTAAGTATCCTGCGGTGAGGATCAGCTACGGATGGTTTGTATCTGGTTACCCAAAAGCTTGCAAAAGTCGATGATAGGAATGCAAAAAGGCGGTTAAGGGTCGCCTCAAAAACCCTTGTCCAATCAAGAACATCGGATATCCTATCGGGTACCACCGGCCCGATCGCGATTGTCGCTAGGTGGACTCTCCTCTGACCTTTAAGGTAAGCGACGCCTATGGTGCAGGTATAGGAACGCGCTAGCTACGCTATCCTAGAGTGGAGAATTTCAAGCTCAAACCGCAAGAAGAAAGCCTCAGTACCCCGCACGCTGGGCTCTGCCGCCTCCGACGTTGGGCGGTACGACGACCGGCGAGAGGCTGCACAATCTCGGGTTGCGTAGAACGTCATGGACTCTGGACGAAGACGACACGAGAACACGACATGGAGATTGCCTCAGAATTTGCACTTACAACGCGAGAACTGTCTCCAGTGATGCCGACCTTCGTTGCCTGCTTGATGCCGCGAGTCGAATCAAGTACAACGTAATCGCGCTCCAGGAAACGAAGTGTAAGAAGACCGATATACGACATTTCTTCGATGGAACTCTTGTCATTCGTGGTGAGAAGTTTCCATCGCGAAACATCGGTGGCGTCGGGTTCGCCGTTCACCCATCTGTCGTCCAACACGTTGACTCCTACGAAATCCTCTCTCCTCGCCTTGCCATCCTCCGTCTTCAGCCGCGGCGTCAAAAGTCCATCTGTATCATCAGCTGCTATTCACCACACATGGGCGCTGATGATTCCGAATTAGACGCATTCTACGATCAGCTGGAGGAAGTCATCCGCACCGAGAAGTCCTTCTATAAATTCATTGTCGGAGACTTCAATGCGAGGATCGGTAAGGTGGAAGAAAAAGAAGACAGGATTGGCCAGTTTGGGATTGGCGAAAGGAACGAAAACGGAAATCGGCTTGCTGGGCTCATGTCCGCGACTCGTCTCTTCCACGGTAACTCTTTGTTCGAGAAGAAGGAACATCGCCGCTGGACATGGGAATCACCCAACGGCACGACACGTGCCGAGATCGATCACATTATTACGAACAGGAGACGGTGCCTTTGTGATGTCGCTGTAGTGCCATCTTTCTGTACCGGATCTGATCATCGGCTTCTTCGGGCGAAAATTCGTCTATCTACCAGGCTTGAAAAACGAGCCTTGCACCGCCCGAAGACAAGAAGATCGGTCGTGTACGATGAGAACATCTGACAAGCCTGTGCTGATGCGGCTTCTCTTACTCAGCGAAGGAGCTCCGAACGCATCTCGACGTCAACGAGAGAACTCTTGAGTAAGCGAAGGAGCCTGCGACTTGATCCGAATGCAACCCACCTCGAGCGACTGATTGCTGACACCAGTTGCAGAATAGCGCTGCAGGAGGACATACGACAGTTCAGGCAAAGAAAAATCCTCGAAGCTGCACAAGGAAGATCAAGTATAAAGAAGTGCAAGCGGGACCTCACCGATCATCGCGTACCACTTTCTGCTCTCCTGAGAGAGGACGGAACCCTCACTACTTCTAGAAAGGAGATGGAATCTATAGCGGAAACGTTCTACACAAGTCTATTCCGCTCCTCCACACCCGTACCAGACCCTGTTATCCCCACTGCCCCCCGACCACCTACGATCCTTACCTCAGAAGTCCGAGTTGCCATCGACAGCATGAAGAAGGGAACTGCTCCCGGACCCGATAAGATCTCGGTCGACTTCCTTAGAGCAGGGAAACACTCACTTCATGCCATTTTGGCAGCCCATATGACGTCCTATCTTCGAAAGGGAAGGATTCCGGACCAGTGGAGAACTTCGCGCACTGTCATTCTATTCAAGAAGGGTGACAGAGAAGATCTTCGTAATTACCGACCAATCAGCTTGTTGAGCGTGCTCTACAAGCTCTTTACGAAGATCATTCTAACGCGCATCTCGAGTACACTGGATGAAGCGCAACCAGTAGAGCAAGCTGGGTTCCGCAAGGGATTCAGCTGCATGGACCACATCCAGACTGTCGTGAGAGTAATAGAGGTCTGTCGTGAATACCATATGCCTCTCGTTCTGACCTTTGTCGACTACGAGAAAGCCTTTGACAGCGTCGAAACGAACGCCATCCTGTCAGCGCTGGTCGACCAAGGAGTGGAGTCATCCTATGTTAACATCTTAGCTGACTGTTACAGACACTGCTCAACGACGCTACAACTGTTTGACCGTCCTTTAACCATCCCCATCGAGAAGGGCGTCAGGCAGGGCGATACTATCTCGCCGAAGCTGTTTACCGCGGCGTTGCAGTGGATCATGAAGTCGCTCGACTGGGACGAGAGGGGCATACGAGTGGATGGAAAATTCCTATCCAACCTTCGATTTGCAGACGACATCGTCTTATTTTCGAATTCTATCACTGAAGCAGAGACGATGCTCAACGAACTTAACGAAGCTGGAAGTAGAATTGGACTACGAATCAATCGGAAGAAGACACAGTTTATGAAGAACTCCTGGTGCGAAGAACATCACATGACGATAAATGGTTTGCAGATACTGGAAACCAATTCGTACGTGTACCTAGGACGCTCGATAAACATGAACAATGATCTCAAGGAGGAACTGGACAGGAGAAAGAGAGCGGGCTGGTCTGCATTCGGGTCTATCAGAGAGGCCACTGACCATCTTTCAGATGTAGACCTGCGAGCCCATCTCTTTGATCAAACAGTGCTTCCTGCGCTCTGTTACGCTGCAGAAACGTGGGCCGATACGAATGCCACCACGAATACGCTTCGAGTAACGCACAGAGCGTTAGAGAGGTGTCTTCTAAAATACAACAGGCGCTCACAACATCGAGCAGGACTTCGTAGTTCAGATATGAGGGTGATGTCTCGACTCAGAGATCCTGTGGAATACGCTTACAAGGCAAAACACAGGTGGGCCGGACATATCATGAGGAGGAACTGACGACAGGTGGACGAGAAGGACAATAGAGTGGATCCCTAGAGACCACAAGCGTCCTCTAGGGAGACCACCTATTAGATGGGCCGACGTGTTCGTTAACGTTCTGAAGTCCGCTATGGAAACTCGTGGCCGTCAAGGAAGAAAGGTATCGTGGATGACGGTAGCGAGAGGACGAAACGAATGGAATCTGTGCGGTGGCTCGCACATGGAGTGAAGACGAGCCATCTAAGTATCTAAGTAAGTAAGTAGTAGGTGCGGCCAGCCTGCCGCGCGATGTCGCGTTGCGATGAGCGAAAAAGTCGTGTTCTGTCCGAAGTACCCACACCCCTTAGTAAGACAGTAGCTGTCTTCATTGGCAATGCTTTGGAGATCGAGGAAGCATTGTAAAGTATAGATTTACGTTTTAAACCTGTATCACCTGTATCACCTGTCGTCCCGTTGATCATCGAATTGCTCGAGCGGGCGCCAGCAACGTCTCCATTCGTCCCTGTCGCGTGCAAGAGTTGTCCAGTGGATCCCTCCTCGCTCGAGGGACACGAAGTCCTTCATTCCTTTCGTTCAGAGCTTTCGTGAAGAAGTCTGACCATCGGGCCGGCGGTCGTCCAGGTGTTCGTTTGACGTCCCGAGGGATCCAGTCGGTAACCGCTCTGGTCCAACGGTCATCGCAAAATCGCATGACGTGTCCGGCCCACCTTATCTTCGATTCCTTGGCGAAAACGGCAGCGTCCCTGATCTTCGATCGTTGGCGTAGTTCGGCACTCCGGATTCCCCTCTGCACTTGCGTGTATAGGGTTACTCCTAGCATCGTCCTCTCGACAGCGCGTTGGATAACGCTGACCGCATGCTCGTCCTGCCTGCGCAGAGTCCAAGTCTCTGAGGCGTAGGTTAGGGCAGGAAGGACAGCGGAATCGAAGAGGTGGGCACGGAGCCGGATGTTCTTCGTCTTCTTCACTACTCCCTCGATGTTCTTATACGCTCCCCAAGCCGCTCGTTTCCTCCTGCTCAGCTCTGGAGCTAGATCGTTCATCATATTGATTTCCCGACCTAGGTACACGTAGCTGGAGCATTCGGTGATGTTCGTTCCGTTGAGCGTGAATGGGGCATCAGGAACCAATCCGTTTCTCATAAACATCGTCTTCGTTAGGTTCAGCTGTAGACCAACCTTACCACAGGCGCAGTCGAAATCAGCCAGCATTCGCTCCGCTTGCTCGATGTTCGGCGTTATAAGAACGATGTCGTCAGCAAAACGAAGGTGGTGTAGTTGCCGGCCGTCGACCTTCACTCCCATGTCTTCCCATTCCAGTTGACGCATGACGTTCTCGAGAGCGGCGCTGAAGAGTTTGGGCGAGATGGTGTCGCCCTGTCGAACCCCTCTCTTGACGTCGATGATGACCTCCTTGTAGAATGGTGAGATTCTGGTCGTAAAGTTGCTGTAGAGCTCACGAAGAATCTTGATGTACTGAGTAGGGACGCCCTGGTTGCCCAAGGCTTCGATGACCGCTTCTGTCTCCACAGAGTCGAAGGCCTTCTTCAAGTCGATGAACGTGAGACAAAGCGGCATCTTGTACTCTCGTGAAACTTCAATGAGTCTTGTAACCGTGTGGATATGGTCGATCGTGCTGAACCCTCTTCGAAACCCTGCTTGCTCGCATGGCTGTCCTTCATCTAGTATTCTGCCGATCCTGTTAAGGATGACTCGAGTGAATAGCTTGTAGATTACAGACAGCAGGCAGATTGGGCGATAGTTGCCAATGTCGTCCAGGTCTCCCTTCTTGTACAGCAACACGGTCCTGCTGGTTTTCCACGGAGTGGGTACCTTGCATTCCGACAGGTAGCGCGTGAAGAGTCGAGCCAGAGTTTTGATGATAACTGGCGGTGCATTCTTCAGATGTTCCGGTTTGACCCTGTCGAGACCGGGTGCTGTACGATTCTTCACCGACTTGATGGCGTGTCGGACTTCGGAAGAGAGAACTGAGGGGACGACGTATCCATCCTGTTGCAGTTGATAAGTAGGCAGATGGACATGGCTATCGAAGAGATCCGAGTAGAAGTCGTGGATGACTTTCTCCATTGCCCTTCGGGATGCAGTAACTGTTCCATCCGGACGTCGGAGGCAGGTCATCTTGGTCTTGTAGCTGGCAAAGCTTCGGCGGGCATTGCGGATGCTCCTCCCAGCCTCTGCTGCTTCAGCTAATACTGCTGCTCTTCGCTCCTTGAGATCTTCCTTTATCGCCTCTCTGCATAGCTTCGCAAGCTCGGACGTGAGTCGGTGATTGCCTGCAGCTCGTGCGGCTCCACGCTGGCGTATCAGTTCGAGAGTTTCCGGAGACAGACGTCCCTTGGTGACTTTCAAACTCTCTGCCTTCTTGCCACAATCGTGAAGATGTTCAACGAGCCGATAGTACTCCTCGTCGATGTTTTCGATGACGGAATCCTCCCATAAGCTGACGAGGGAAGCGAAGTGATCCCAGTTGATGACTGTCCTGGGGCTTCGCTTCCTGAACTTCGAGGCTCTCTCAACACGCATCGAAAAGTGGAACTTTGCGCGGAGGAGACGATGGTCCGATCCCGTGTAGAACTTCGGAACAACAGCGACGTCGGTCAGGCAAAACCTTCGATTGAAGATGATGTGGTCTATCTCGTTATGGAACTGTCCATCAGGTGACTCCCAAGTCCAACGAAGGTGAGGGGCTTTTGGAACTGTGAGTTACCATGGATGGTGTTGGTCGACATGATAAACTCCGACAGTCTCTCACCCTGCTCATTCCATTCCATTCCGTGAGTACCGATGTGAAGTTCTTCAGCCGTTCTTCTTGGGCCAATCTTAGCGTTGAAGTCGCCGACGATGACCTTGAAGAAGGTATGATCTTCCCTGTAGAACTTCTCCAATTCCATATAGAATGCTTCGTGTTCTTCTTCGTCGTAGCTGGATGTTGGTGCGTAGGCGACGAAGATTGTCAAAGCAGGAGTTGAACCACATCTTCTCAATCTCAAACGTCCGATTCGGGTCGTAAGGCTTTCGTACGAATCGATGTTTATGGCCAAGTGCGTGTTGACGAGGACACCCACACCGCCAACGCCTCTGCTGTCGCATGTTCCAAGGAACAGTTCTTCTCCAGTATCGAAAACGGCGTGTAGCGGGCGGTGCCTTCTCGTCTCGGTCAGTCCGATGACGTCGTACTTGATCTTCCTGGCCTGCATCATCAGATCTTCGATGTGAGCTTCGGATGCAAGCGTTCGTGCGTTGAAAGTACAGATCGCCATCTTAGTCCTTCTTCGTTTAGGCAGCCTATCCGGGCCCTGAGATTCTAGCAGCCTCTCCCGAGCGGTCCTACCCAACGCTGCCGTATTGGGGGCTCCCTCAGGTTCAGGGGAATGAGGCCCATCCATATTGCTGTTTTCGGCATATTGAAGGCACACGAGTAGCTTGCCAGGCTCTGTCGTGCGGGCTAGGATAGACCTCCAGGTAGTTAGCCACGCTATCCTGGAGCGGAACAAGGGGCTTATTTTTGGAGGCGGCCCCGAATCGCCTCCCATGTACTTCCCAGTCACTTGAATGCAAGCTTTTGGCTGTGCCGACATGCAGGATACCAACCGCACACACACAGAGCGCACCACACACGCAAGCATGCATGGATGCGCCTGAGTGGAGACAGCTGGTATGAATCAACACAGCACTACAGAAACAGGGAGTCCATCCCCTGAATCCACCTGCGTCTCAGGGCAAGTACATGGTGGCTTTTGGTCCGCGATTTACCCCCTATCCG